AAAAAAAAAAAATGGGCAAAGGATATGAACAGACACGTTACCAAAGAAGACATTCAGGTGGGTAACAGATACATGAGGAAATGCTCATGATCATGAGCCATTAGAGAAATGCAAATCAAAACGTCAATGAGATAAACCATCTCACCCCAACATTACTGGCATGAGTCAAAAAAATAGAAAATAACAAATGTTGGAGAGGCTGTGGGGAGCCTGGAACTCTTATGTACTGCTGGTGGGAATGCAAAATGGTACAACCACTATGGAAAACGATATGGCACTTTCTCAAAAACCAGAAACAGAAATACCATACTACCCAGCAATCCCACTCTTAGGAATATATCCTAGAGAAATAAGAGCTGACACATGAATAGACATATGCACACCCATGTTCACCGCAGCATTATTCACAATAGCAAAAAGATGGAAACAACCTAAATGCCCATCAATAGATGAATGGATAAACAAATTATGGTACATACACACCATGGAATACTGCACAACGATAAAGACTAATGGTGAATCTGCACAACATCTCATAACATGGATGAATCTGGAGGCCATTATGCTGAGTGAAATAAGTCAATCACAAAAGGACAAATACTGTATGAGCCCACTATGATAAAAACCCAAGAAAAGGTTTACACACAGAAAAGAAAAATCTTTGATGGTTACGAGGAGAAGGGAGGGGTGGGGGTGGTAAATCACTACCTAGACAGTAGACAACTGTTAACTTTGGTGGAGCCCTGGTGACATACTGGGTTAAGAGCTCAGCTGCTAACCAAAAGGTTCACAGTTCGAATCTACCAGCTGCTCCTTGGAAACGCTACGGGGCAGTTCTACTCTGTCCTAGAGGGTCTCTATGAGTCGGAATCTACTCGACGGCAAAAGGTATGGGTTAACTTTGGTGAAGGAAAAGACAACACACAATATAGGGGAAGGCAGCAAAACCTGACCAAGGCAAAGTCATAGAAGCTTCCTAGACACATCCAAATAGCCTGAGGGACTGAGTTACTGGGACCGAGGGCTGAGGACCACGGTCTCGAGGGACATCTAGGTCTACTGGCATATTTCATAAAGAAAATGTTCTACATCCTACTTTAGTGAGTAGAGTGTGGGGTCCTAAAAGCTTTCAAGCAGCCATCTAAGATACAACTACTGCTCCTAGCAGGTCAGAGCAAAGGAGAATGAGAAAACCAAAGGACTAATGGACCACATGAACCACAGCCTCCACCAGGCTGAGCCCAGAACTAGATAGGACCACAATAGAGGGTCCTGGGCAGAGTGGAAGAAAATGTAGAAGAAAATTCAAATTCACAAAAACAGGCCAGGCTTACTGGTCTGACAGAGACTGGAGGAACCCTGGAGACTATGGCCCATGGACATCCTGCTAACTCAGAACTGAAGCCACTCCCGAAGTCCACCTTTCAGCCAAAGATTAGACACGCCCATTAAACAAACAATAACACACATGAGGAACATCCTTCTTAGTTCTATCAAGTATAGGAGGCCAAATGGGCAACACCTGCCTAAAAGCAAAGACGAGACAGCAGGAAGGGGCAGGAAAATTGGACAAATGGACATGGAGAACCTAGGGTGGAAAGGGAAAGGCGAGAGTGCTGACACATTGCGGGGACTGCAACTAATGTCACAAAACAACTTATGCATAAAATTTTTCAATGAAAAACTAATCTGCACTGTAAATTTTCACCTAAGACACAATAAAATTCAAAAAATATATAAAAGAATTTTATTTAAAATAACAGAAAGCTTGTTCTGTTAAAAGCGTATTCTATTTGTTTAAAAGACCTATCCAAAACCAAAACCAAACCTGTTGCTGTCGAGCCGATTCAATAGACCTACATTCCCCATTTTTCCCAAGTTACAGGAGGAGAAAGCTAGGTTTTCCTTTCCATAAAACTATATTAAAAGTTATTAAAATGAGAAATGCATATTAGTTCCATAACAATTTTCAAGAAGTTAATTTGACCAAATTTGTATACTACCAGAGAGTAATAAAGATTCTCTTTGGATTTTACTGTTCAGTAGAGAAAAAATTATTCAGCTGAGGTCTGAAGACCCAGGTTCCATTTCCAGCTCATCATTAACCTCTGGCTCATTTATCCACCCTGGGATCAGTCTCTTGAGAAATTAAAGGAAAGAGCTCTAAGATCCCTTCTAACTCTTAAAGGCTATATGAAATTACAAATATTCAAATAAGAGTGGCTAGAAAGTTTTCAAATGTGCATATCCCTCTTTACTATTAACAGTTGCAATAAAAATTACTCAGGAATTCACAAATACTAAGTACAAAATATAATTCATAGAATTGCTGGTTTTTAAAAAGGGATGCCAACCCTCTACCTGGGGAGGGTCTTATTAGCTACAGAAGAAGGAACCAAGTAGGCAGGAGATGCTGGTCTTTCTTTCTCAGCCTCTGGGACATCTGCTCTTCTTTCCCTCTTTTAGTCTTTCTGCCTTGACTACCCTTACATACAATGAAGCCAATGCACATTATTATTTATTGGATTTAAAAATATTGAGCCCATTTTTTAGTTTCAAGAACCAGTGGCTTATTTTTATGTTGTTCTTTTTTCTAAAAATAAGACAAAACCAAAAAAAAAAACCCTAAAGTTAGCAGCTTTATACACATTATCTCACCCTTGTGCCTTGAGGGGATTAACTCTTGAACATGTCACAAGATAAAACTAAGAAGATAAGGATGGGGTAGAGGGTGCGGACAAAAGGTCTCTTCTATCTTGTACAGGTATACCTCTTTTTATTGCATTTCACAGATAATGCATTTTTTACAAGTTGAAGGTTTGTGGCAATCCTGTGTCCAGCATGTCTATCGACGCCATGTTTCCAACATCATGTGCTCACTTCCTGTCTCTGCGTCCTATTTTGGTAATTCTCGCAATATTTCAAACTTTATCATTATTATTATACATGTGATGGTGATCTGTGATCAGTGATCTTTGATGTTACTATCATAATTGTTTTGGGGCTCCACAAACCATACCCACATAAGATGACAAACTTAATCGATAGATGTTGTGTGTGTTCTGACTGCTCACTGACCAGCTGTTCTCTCTCTCTTCCTCTCCTCAGGCCTCCCTATTCCCTGAGACATGCAATATTAAAATTAGGCCAATTAACAACCCTACAATGGCCTCAAAGTGTTCAAGTGAAAGGAAAAGTCACACATCTCTCACTTTAAACCCAAAGCTAGAAATGATTAAGCTTAGTGAGGAAGGCATGTCAAAAGCCAAGACAGGCCAAAAGCTAGGCCTCTTGCGTCAGTTAGCCAAGTTGTGAATGCAAAGGAAAAGTTCTTGAAGGAAATTAAAAGTGCTACTCCAGTGAACACATGAATCATAAAAAAGCGACACAGCCTTATTGCTGATATCGAGAAAGTTTTAGTGGTCTGGATAGAAGATCAAAGCAGCCACAACATTCCCTTAAGCCAAAGCCTAATCCAGAGTAGGGCCCTAACTCTCTTCAATTCTATGAAGGCTGAGAGAGGTGAGGAAGCTGCAGAAGAAAAGTTTGAAGCTAGCGGAGGTTGGTTCATGAGGTTAAGGAAAGAAGCTGTCTCCTTAACATAAACATGCAAGCTGAAGCAGCAAGTGCTGACGTAGAAACTGCAGCAAGTTATCCGGAAGATCTAGCTAAGTTAATTGATGAAGGCTGGCTACACTAAACAACAGATTTTCAATGTAGACGAAACAGCCTTATACTGGAAGAAGATACCATCTAGGACTTTCATAGCTAGAGAGAAGTCAATGCCTGACTTCAAAGCTTCAAAGGACAGGCTGACTCTCTTGTTAGGGACTAATGCAGCTGGTGACTTTAAGTTGAAGCCAACGCTCATTTACCATTTCTAAGATCCTAGGGCCGTTAGGAATTATGCTAAATCTACTGCCTGTACTCTATAAATGGAACAACAAAGCCTGGATGACAGCACATCTGTTTATGACATAGTTTACCAAATATTTTAAGCCCACCGTTGAGACCTACAACTCAGAAAAAAAGATTCCTTTCAAAATATTACTGCTCATTGACAAAGCACCTGGTCACTCAAGAACTCTGACGGAGATGTACAAGGAGATTAAGGTTGTTTTCATGCCTGTTAACACAATGCCCATTCTGCAGCTCATGGATCAAAGGGTAATTTCGACTTTCAAGTCTTATTATTTAAGAAATACATTTTGTAAGGTTATAGCTGCCACAGACAGTGATTTCTCTGATAGATCTGGGCAAAGTAAATTGAAAACCTTCTGGAAAGGATTCATCACTCTAGATGCCATTAAGAACATTCGTGATTCATGGGAGGAGGTCAAAGCATCAAAATTATCAGGAGTTTGGAAGAAGTTGATTCCAACCCTCATGGATGACTTTGAGGAGTTCAAGTCTTCAGTGGAAGAAGTAACTGCAGATATAGCAAGAGAATCAGAATTAGAAGTGGAGCCTGAAGATGTGACTGACTTGCTGCAATCTCATGACAAAACTTTAATAGATAAGGAGTTGCTTCTTATGGATGAGCAAAGAAAGCGGCTTTTTGAGATGAAATCTACTCCTGGTGAAGATGTTGTGAGCACTGTTGAAATGACAACAAAGGATTTAGAATATCACATAAACTTAGTTGATAAAGCAGCAGCAGGATTTGAGAGCACAGACTCCAATTTTGAAAGAAGTTCTGCTGTGGGTAAAATGCTATCAAACAGTATTGCATGCTACAGAGAAATCTTTCTTGAAAGGAAGAGTTAATCGATGTGGCAAACTTCATTGTTGTCTTATTTTAAGAAACTATCACAGCCACTCCAACCCTCAGCAACCACAACCCTGATCAGTCAGCAGTCATCAACTTTAAGGCAAGACCCTCCACCAGCAAAAAGATTAGGACTCACTGAAGGCTCAGATGATGGTTAGCATTTTTCAGCAATAAAGTATTTATAATTTAGGTATGTACATTGTTTCTTTAGACATAATGCTATTGCACACTTAACAGACTACAGTATGATGTAAACATAACTTTTATATGCACTGGGAAACCAAAAAATTCACGTGACTCGCTTTATTGCAGTGGTCTGGAACCGAACCTGCAATATCTCCGAGGTATGCTTGTATCTTCTTTGAAAAGGTTTTTCCTTCCCATTCATTTTCTCTTATTTTTTATCAGGAAAAAAAATCTGTTTATTTTAAATTGGAAAGCACAGAAAAGTGTAGTGGAAATAAAAACTACTCGTAAACTCAACACCCACAAGATAACCTCTATTAACAGTGGTATACTCTATTGTTTCCATTCATTTTCAAGTTGGATTAGGGGAACCAAGCCTACAACAAAGGGCTAAGTTTATGAGAGCATTAACTTTTTGGTCCTATAGTTTTAATTTTCATTTAACAAGCTTTTGTTGACTCAGAAAACAAAAATGAATAAATCTCATAGTAATCAGAATTACAAAAGAAAATAAAATACTACTAAATCTTTAGACAACTATTTTCTTCTTGAGCAAACTGTCCTAAGTAAATGATGTTAAGAAAATATCAATTTAAAGTTTCAATTAATAACTTTAAAAAGTTCCCAATTTTCCTGTTCTCACACAAAATAAATATAAACAGAAAGTTTACATAAGTTTTGCTTTTTTTTTTAATTTCCAAAAAAGACCACTTACCTGGTTTTCCTCTCCAGTCTGTAACAATTTCTGGTTTCTTGAAATTGCCAGCATTTCTATAAGTTCCCTAAAAAAAAACACACACACACACACACAAAACAACCTTGCAAACACAATAGAGGCTTTCTTAACTGACCTCCACCCTAACTGACCTGCTGGATTCACCAAAGCTCTTCAGTCCCTCTGGAGAACTGAACACTCAGGACTACTGTCCTTCTGTTCACTTCTCACCAGTTGCACCACACTTTCCCAGATTCACCTGTATTTGTTCCCAAACCTTCATACAAAGCAGTAGATACCTTGCCTTCCATGTGGGAGACCCCAGCTGATTCTCAGCCAATGCACCTCATGAGCACTCAGCTATCAAATGGCTTGCGTGATGCTATGACGCTGAACAGGCTTCACTGGAGCTCCCAGACTAAGGCTAATTAGGAAGATCTACTTCTGAAAGTCAACCAGTGAAAACCCTGTAGATAACAACAGTCCGACCCCCAAGTGATCATGGGGATGGCGCAGAATTTCATAGCAGCATTTGACTCTATTGTGCATGGCGCCACCATGAGCCAGGGGCTGACTTGACAGCAGCTAACACCGTAATTATACAAAATACGATCCGTTACATAAATACCAATCAAATATGACTGTGGACAGAAAAGAATTATTTCTACAAAAACCTAAGCTGAATGCTTTGGAAATGACTCAATAGAAGTCTGCAAAGGACAACTGTAAAGAACCTGGGGAAAAGTCATAAAAACCTAGATATCAAGTCTGCCTTAAGATTGCTAGGTAAGTGTCTAAAATAACATTTTAGCTTAAAGAAACCAAACTAGAAATTGCAGACAGTGCATTATGGGTATGTCCTACCTACATCAGGGGCCTGCAGGCTAAATCCACCTTGCCATCTATAAATAAAGTTTTCTTGGACACAGTCATGCACATTCCTTTACGTAGTGGCTAAGGCTGCTTTCCCACTAAAATAGTAGAGCTGAATAGTTGTGACAGAAATTTTACAGCCCACAAAGCCAAAAATATTTACTATCTGGCCTTTTACAAAAAAAGTTTTTTGACCCTTGTCTTCCATGAAAAGATTAGTAAATGACATAAGTTTATATGTTTTAAGGTAGAATAAAAACAATTAAGGAATGCATCAGTCATTTTTGAAAGATTTTCCAATTTAACCAATTTTTTTGATCAACCTAATACGCATCCGCTAAGAGGGCTTCTTACACATAATAAAATCTCATCTTTCCAGAATGCTCAATTAATAGATAGGCCACTTTTCCTATATGAAAATGAGTATTACAAAGATTAGGAAAAAAAATTTATAGCTGGTAATACCTATATTGGATTGACACAGCAGCTATAACAATGAGCCCAAACAGAGCAACGATTGTGAGGATGGCACAGGACTGGACAGTGTTCATTCTGTTGTACGCAGGGTCGTGTGAGTCAGAACTGCCTTGATGGCACCTAACAACAACAACGACAACATCTATATGTTAGTTTCAAACTTGTTGACGTTCAGTACTTTCCAGAAATTATGCAGGAGGGTATAGGGTATAGCTAGGAGGGTACCTAGCTTCACAAGGTCTAGTCAACCCAGTGTTTGCGCCTCTCTTGATGCTAAGCTATTTTTGCCTTCATGTTTCCAGCTTCCTTCCTGCTAGCCTCATACCATTTTTTCCTCCACAACTACCGCCTCCCCATACCATTATGTATGAATGAATGAATGAAAAAGTAGATATGGGGAAGTCCTTATTTACTCATTCATTCACGGAATAGTTACTGAGTGCCTACTGTGTGTTAGGCACTGTTCTATATGCTTGCATTGTAAAAAGTGAGTAACGGCACTTAAATTCTAATACAGGAGATGAGAACAAGCAGGAAAATAAATACACAAAGCTACAGGGATAAGAGAGCCTGGTGGCAGTGGAGCCCTGGTGGTGCAGTAGTTAAGAGCTCGGCTGCTAACCAAATGGTCAGCAGTTTGAATCCACCAGCCGCTCCTTGGAAACCCTATGGGGCAGTTCTACTCTGTCCTATAGGGTCACTATGAGTTGGAATCGACTTGATGGCAATGGGTTTGGGTTTTTGGTTTGGACAGTGATAAGTGTTAAGAGAAAAAAAACAGTGTAATGTTAGGGAGTGTAGGCAAGGTAGGTTGGCTACTTGAAGCGAGTACCAGCAAAGGCCTCTGTAAAGACATATCTCTGCAGTGACATGAATTAAATGAGAGAAGCCAGCCATGAGAAGATCTGGAGGAAAGAATGCTCGGCAGAAGACACAGCTAGTTCTTCAATGGCCCAAAGATGGGTCTGAAGAACTGTGGCTAACGCATAGTAAACACTGGCGAGAAGGATACCAAGTGAGGATAAAGACAGACAGAGGCCAGATAACATAGGTCCTTATAGCTGATGCTCCAACCAGTTACTGCTGAGCCAATTCTGACTCATGGTGACCCCACCTGTGTCAGAGTAGAACCAAAGGGTTTTCAATGGCCGATTTTTCACAAGTGGATCACCAGGCCTTTCTTCCAAGGCACCTCTGGGTGGGCTCAAACCTCTAGCCCTTCAGTTAGCAGCCAAGTGCATTAACCACTTGCGCCACCCAAGGAGGCTGGTAAAGAATTAGTATTTCATTCTAAGAGCAATGAGAAGCCATAGTACTAGAGACTACATTGAAAACTAGATTCTAATAGGGTCAGAATGGAAATGAAGTTAGGTGGGTTTTGCAGTGTTCCAGGCAAAAGATGACACTGGCTCTGACTGGGCCCTAGCCACTAGGATTTAGTAATGGAAATGGGAGAACTATGGACAGACACAGGATATATTTTGGAGGTAGAGCTGACAGGACTTGCTGATGGGTTAAATAGACATTTTATGAGAAAGCATGTTATAGTAACCTTTTCCTGTACCCTACAGGTGAGACATAGTTAGGAACCTTTGGTCTAAGTAAAAGCTTTTTAGGGGGTAAGGGGTGGTGGTGAGGGGGTTGGAGATGTTAGGGAGATGTGAAAAGAGCCTTTTTCTGATTTTGTTGTGAATCTGGGAGCATAATCCACAGAAAGCCTTACAAGGGCTTGCCCTAGGCACAGGAGTATGGGGGAGGGGAGAGTTTGTAAGACGTAGTATTGTATTGTACCAAATTCATTGTTGCTGAGTCAATTACAACTCATAGCGACCCTACAGGACAGAGTAGGGCTGCCCCAAAGGGTTTCCAAGGAGCATCTGGTGGATTCGAACTGCCGACCTTTTGGTTAGCAGCCAAGCTCTTAACCACTACACTACCAGGGTTTCCTCTTCTGTACTAGACTGGTAGAAAGTAGAAATCCCTGTCCTCCTCAAAGTGAAAGGAGACTGAAGAAACCACTCTCTGTTACAGGTGTGAGAAATACGGCCCTGTCCTGCTACAGAGGAAGAAGTTGTATTCTTGGCATACCAAATTAGAATCCAGCCACATTTTCCCATAGAAATATAATTTACATAGGGGTTAGATCCTGTATTATTAGTAGTACTACACTTTACAGAAATTATAGGTAAATAGGATTTAACAGGTTGGTGTGGAAATATCAACGATGATTTCTGTGGGATAATGAGTTCTGAGTTCCAAACAACAGGTTAAGAAAAATTTTTAGACTACCATCTATCTATATGCCACTATTTTAAAAATTCCTTCAAAGACTACCTCATTCTATTGTATTTTACAAAATAATGAAATATATTGAAAGGTTATATAATCATTTAACAATCAAAAATACATCCTAAATTTCAAACTCACTATTTTCTAAAGTCAACAGGCTGGGCATAAAATACAGTTAAGTTACATTAGTGATAAGTTTTTTTTATTTCACTTTTCTTAAAAATGAAAACCAGATACAAATTTCACTCAGAGGATAATGACAAATTTCACAGGTCACAGAATCAGTATACACAGCCATGGCTGAGTGAGGACATAATGGGGCTTTTCCGAACGCCAACTGCACTGGAGTGGCTTCATTCTGTGGAAAAGTTCCGATGAGCCTTCTGTGGCAAACCATAAAGTAACATCTCCTCCACTACTACCAACAAATATCTGCAGGAAAAGAAGTGAATTTTCACTTATCTACTTTCACTCAATCTTTCTTCAGAGATGAACAAAAAACGTGGTGGATAAGTCATGAGAAAATCAAGGAAAAAGAAAAACGAACCCCCAAGACAATGAATGTTACCACAGGCTGCAGAGCACCTCAAGAAAGATGAAGTCTATCACCAATCTGTTAATAGAGTCCAGTGAGGAGGAGACCAGTAAGTCTTCTTGGCATTCCTGGAGAGAAGCCAACAGAAGAACTACAGCTTCTTTTAGAAGAAACAAAGAACTCAGCACCTCAATCGATCATGTACAACTGGAAAGCTGAAGGAGAAAGTTTCGGAAACACTGAGGCTCCTGAGCAAAATTCAAATGATGATTCACTACTTCAGTGGGTAAATACACCTCATCAAACAGCAAATGCTATACTCAGTGTCAAGAAAAGAAAATATGGAAGGCTATAATTGGTCAAATTGAGACAAGAAAATTTTAATTTAGTCTCAAATTTAACAAAACTGATAAATTACTTAATCACACCATCTCAAGTGAAAAGTACATGGATATCAAAGCATACGTACTCCTATAGGTACCAACAGCATCAGGACGACACATCTCAGATACAGAGCCTGGTCGCCAAACGATCCAGAGGTAAAACCTCAAGACCGACTACTGGGTTGTCCAATATCGGAAGAAATTCTCAAAGATCATCGCCCTGGCTGGGTAGGCTCAGAAACACAGTTTCTGAACTTGGTGAATATGAAATATACACTAGGGTCACTCAGCAAAACAGACAAATAAACTATGTTATACCAAGTAAAGCTCAGAAAAGAAATGAATTCACTAGGTTCCAGAGGAGAGTGAGAAGTAGTAGTCTATTGGAGAGACTATGGCAAAGATCTGAAGGTCTAAAACTAAGGCCTACTCAGAACAAAAGGCGGCAGCCACTACTTCCCGTAGGGGGTGTCATTTCTTCACGAAGACAATGTATGTACAGAAAACTTCATCGATACCATCCATACCATATGGTTGGTCAAGAGGAACATACGATGAACAATACTTTAACTCAATTAATTTCATACTCAACAGCACCATCAAGATTCCATACCACAGCTGTCAGAAGTCAACCAAATATCAGACTCAGCCTTCAGGTGAGAAATCTGCAAGAAGAAATAGCTCAAATATTCCAAGCAGAAAGAGATCCAGAATTCAAGGAAGAACTGGCTCATACAGGAGCAAGAGAGGTATTTTCCAATTAATCTTTAGTTGTTCTGAATCTAATGGAACACAAATTTGTATCAGAACAACATGGTTACCTGTTCAAGGTATTTCAGAGACTCAGTCTGGCCAATCAGTAATCCTAAAAGCACACCTCCATAGAGCTGTGGTTAGGCTGAACACACTAAGTTTTTCAAATGAAATTTGGTCCTATTTAGAAAAGCACTTATGGGATGTTAATTTGGAGTTTAACACATCAAAAAAAAAAAAAAAAAAGTGCTCAGTGTGAACTATATGAAACTTCAAATAGCTGTCCCAAAGACAGTAATATACAGAGCAGAGACATGAATGATTCAGCTGAGAACACCAAACTACCAATACTCTGTCTTGCTAATGCCTTTTTATTAGGAAATAATGTGGGTATTCATTCAAGAGGATTAACTAATGAGGAAACTGACAAATTCTCCACCACAAATTACAAAACCATCAAAGGCAAAGAAGGAAATAAACATTCACACAGAGGCAACACATTAAGACAGCTGCCTTGTGCTTATGAATTTCTTGTTCACCGTCCTGACCACTGGCTGGCTGAAAGTCCCACATGCTCTATTTGTCATCAGGCAGTATCTGAGTCTGATACAATCTAAACAGTTCATTAAACATGTAAGCTGTTTAACTTCTGGTGTCTGTGTATTTTTGGGTTTTCCTTACATTATTTAATATCATGCTGACCTAGTAAGTTGGCAAGTAATGCCGTGGCAAGGACTAAATTTACAGCAAAGATAAAATGTTGATTATCAGTAGGTTGGTATATTTCAAAATACAACAGATAAGATTTATCTAAATTGTTAAGGAATGTTGGCTGCAGAAAAGGTGATGTTTCAGCTGGGTTCCGAAAGATGAATGAATGATTCACCAAATTGGAGGTGGAGTGGGAATGGCACCGAGGATGAGGAAGTATGGCTAGCTTTGCGAATAGGAAGCCCTCAGAGGCTGGAGTGAAGGGTATGCAAGAGGGGTTGGGGAACAGCCTTCTACACTAAGCTAAGGAATCTGGACTTTATCTCATTGGACGATGGCAACCTACCAAATATTTTTAAACAGAGAAGTGATATGAGATGGCTATTTTAGAAAGACAACTCTGCTCCTGGGCAATATAGAAGAATAAAGTATGGAAGCAAAAAGGCACGTAGAAATGTTGGGAGGCTGCATTAAGAAATAGTTAGGATGGTGGGGTGCAAAGTGAGAGGGCAAATTTTAGCAACATTTTAGGAAGCAGAACCCTTACAACTTTAACATCCATGAGTATGTGAGGGGCTGAATGGAGGCCTCAACTTTAGTACCATAAGGGAGAGTACGGAGAACCGCATTCCGGATCATCTCCTGGTTTTCCTCCTAGCTCTGCCACACGCGCTCCGCTCCAGCCATCCCCAACGACTGCAATTCCACCAACAAATCGTGCGTGCTCATGTTTCTACTTCTTTACACATGCTGCTCCATCTACCTGCTACTTAATGAGTGAACTCATTCTTCCCAAGCAGCCCTCTCTCCAGCCAGGACGCTGTCCTGAATACAGCTGGGTCAAGCGCCTGGTCCATAAGGTGGTGCCCCAGCGCACACCTCCGATAAAAAAAAGGCTCCGCACGATGGTCATTGTTTACATGTCTGTCTCTCCCTGTTGACAAAGGTTCCTCCAGGTCGGCATCCGGCTTCCCCTTCACTACCGTCTCCCTAGCGCCTGGCACCCAAGTGTCGGTGAACCAGGGGGCTCAGACTGCGGAATCTCTAAGGTCCGCTACGGCTCTGACAGTCTTGGGAGTTCCAGGGTCACTGTCATTACTAAAATTGTCCTCTAGTAGGAAAAAAATGCCGCCTCGGAGTCCCAGACGGTTGCGGACCTCAAGTCCACTACACTAGTGTTCTATCTTTAGGAGTCCACACCGGAGCCTCCCGAGCGCTGCCCTCCCCGCCGAGCCCCGGGAATAAGAGCAACCGCAGCGCCGGTTGGCCCCAGGGTCAGACATGGAGCCCCGGACCAGCCCTTCTCAGGCCCTCAGCCTGGCGGGATTACCTCGACAAGACCTCCAGATCTTCCAGCGCAGACAGCAGCCGCTCTCGGGTGCTGTTACCACCTGCGGCTTCCGTGCTGCCACCAGGCCGCTCCTTTTCCTTCTCGGCACCAGAAGACGCAGCCATGCCACCCAAGCGCCAGCAGCCGCCGAGTGCGCAGCTGCGCGCCGGCGCTGGGAGAGGAGTACTCAGGAGGCGGAAGGAAGGGTCGTCGAGGCGAGGGAAGAGTGTGGCTAGAGCGCCTCCTGCGCGCCCGGAGGCGTATTGCGAGCGCCGGCGCCATCCGCTGGACCAGCGATTGCTTCTCCGGTCCAAAGCTTGAGCTTTCTGTTTGTCAAAGCTGAACTGGGAGGCTTCGGCTAAACGGTTTCTAAGCATTTGTGGGAATTACGTAATGGCCTCTTATGTCAGTTTCTTCGTGAAGTCTCCGGAAACGTCTATCCTCAGTTAGCATTAACCTCTCTTTATTCTGTAGTCTCATAACGCTATTCTAACCCTCCTTTTCCGGCTGTAGCGGAGGCTGTAGTAAGCTGCTTTTATAGCCATACATACCCAAACAATGCTTTGCCTATTGCTTAAGATGCTTGTTGAGCTGAATTAATCAACATAGCATGAAAGTGGCAATGAAAAGAGTTTAAATAAAGAATTGAGGTAGCACATCTTCCAAATTAGAACTGGACGTCGAAGCTGAAAATGCACCATTGTCCATGGGCCAAAGTTTCAAGCAGTGCACCTTTCCTGGGGGAGAACAATGTAGAAGAGGACTTTCCCTACCAGGAAAACTCAAAGTTACAGCAGTATTGGGAGTGGGGTTTTGTACCGGGTCTTGTTGCGGTTATAAAAAGGTGAGATGGAGATGTCACCTACAGACACCAGGTGTGAGTGAGGCAGCAGTACCTGTGGTCCCCTCATTCCAGCATCTCGTCCTTGGATCTGTCCTTTTGAGGGTGCTGAATCTGATGCCTCCTAGGCTTCCAGAGTTAATGATTGCCTCAGGGACTCATGCCAAATAAATTCACTCACTAGCAACTGCTGCATAATCCAGAATGCCGATTTATTTACTTGTGATGAAAAATAATAGGCCACATACATTTTCCCTCATAGACATGGAAGCCAAATTATCACCAGAATGTTGCTTGTTGAACAACTTGCATCAGACAGGGCAAATGAAGATGCTGTCGTTGTTAGCTGCCAAGGACTCAGCCCTGAACTCATGGCGACGCCATGCGCAAGGAAATGCTGCCTATCCCTGTCCCATCTCCATAACTGGTTACGGATAGGACCACTGCAATCCATACGGTTTTCATTGGCTGATTTTTTGGAAGTAGATCGCCAGGCGTTTCTTCCTAGTTTGTCTTAGTCTAGAAGCTCTTCTAAAACCTGTTCAGCATCACAACAACACACAAGCTTCCACTGACAGATGGTGGGGACTGTGCATGAGGTGTGTTGGCTGGGAACGGAACCTGGGTCTCTCGCATGGAAGACAAGAATTCAACCACTGAACCAGCTGGATCTGAATGACTGCTATCACCAGGTCTTTATCTCTACAGTGTAAGGACGTTTGTGTTAAGGAGATTGGAATATTTGTGTTCGTAGGTCAGGGCGGACACCTTCTCCGCTAGACAGTGCAGGAGGCCCACTGACACCTTTTGTTTTCTGACCATCCCCCATTTCTACTCCTGCCTAACCCCTTCTGTTAATGTAGTAAATTCTCAGGCAGTAGAATAAATTAGATTTACACTTTCTTGATTACAACTGCATTCTAAGCATGTCTCCCAGAAAGTCTAGTCAATCATTTCTTGGGTTAAGTTTCCAGGGTGCCAAACTCCTGCAATATGTGTGGGTGTTGTTTACTTAAGTCTCATAGGGTAATCTTGGTCCATGATTCCGGTGGTGGGAAAGGGGAGATCATATTAGTGTAACTCCCACATAAAAATTCTGGAAAAATTCCAATCAGTTAAAAATGACCAGTTGTAAGTCCTACTTTACAGACATTGGGAGCCCTGGTGGCGCAGTGGTTAAGAGCTTGGCTGCTAACCAAAAGGTTAGTGGTTCGAATCCACCAGCTGCTCCTTGGAAACCCTAGGGGCACTTCTATTCTATCCTGTAGGGTCGCTATGAGTCAGGATCGACTTGACAGCAATGGGTCTTACAGACATTGAGGGTCAGTGTCTGGAGAGTATACATGTATTGTGGACTCCAGAGCGCCTCAGATTTATTGCAAATTCATATGTACATTGTTATGGATTGAATATGTGTTGTAAATCCTAACTCCTTACCTGTGGTTATAATCCCATTTGGGAATGGATTTTAGTATGTTAATGGGGCAATATTAGTGTAGAGTGTGTCTTGAGTCAATCTCTTTGAGGCATGTACTTGTGAGAACTGGAACTTGACAGGACTGCCTTGTTTTTCCAGGTCTCGAAAGTTTTCCGACTTTGACGGGGTGCAGTTTTACCACCTTTCTCTTTTTGTTCTCTATTAGTGAGAAATATTTGAGTTTTCCTTCTCTGACAGGTTTACACCTTACACAGGTTCTAGCTTTCACAGGTTTTACAGTAAAAGGAAATTAAGAAGCAGAGCTGGGGGAAGATAGATGCCACACCTCATGAAGATCACCAAGGAACCAAGGAACAAGGATCTTCCCCTAGAGCCGACAGAGAAAGAGACTTCTCCATTAGAATAAATTTGGACTTCTGGCCTCCTAAACTGTGAGAAAATAAATTTTTGTTTGTTAACCAACCTGTGGTATTTCCGTCATAGCAGCACTAGGTAACTGAGATTCACATTAAGCATTGTTTATGACTGACAAGTAATAGCATCTCCTACAGATGGACCTTTTTGGACAAATTATGCAGTTCTAGGTGTGATAAATAAAATACAAATTATTTTTATAAATCTTACTGAATTCATGGTAACTTTGAATGTTAAGTATTTTCTCAGTGCCTGGAGTCAAAAAAGACAAGTACCACCTTGTTGTTGTTAGTTGCCGTCAAGTGAATTCCAACTCATGGTGGCCCCATAGGTGCAGAAGTAGAAATGCTCCAGAGGGTTTTCAAGGCTGTGACCTTTCAGAAGCTGCTTTCCAGGCCTGTCTTCCAAGGTGCCTCTCGGTGGGTTTGAACTGCCAACCTTTCGGTTGGTAGTCGAGCGCTTAACCATTTGCACCATCCAGGGTATTTAACATGCCAGCACTGTTCTAAGCACTTTAAAAATATTAACTCATTTAATTTTCAAAACATTTCTATGAGGTAAGTACTGTTATTATCCTTGTTACAGATAATTAAACTGAGGGACAGAGAGGGCAATAGACTTGCCCAAAGTCATACAGCTAGTAAGTGGGAAAGCTGGGATTTGAACCTGAAGTCTGGCTCTAGAATCTATGTCTTTACCACTGGTTATGTGGACTCTCTTTGAAAAGAAAGAGGCATCTTCATGTACTAAAAAAGCCTTGGGAATCTCAGTCTAAAATACAAGCACTGTCAAATACACAGGTTGAATTTTTAAAAAATTTTTATTGTGATAAAATATATAAAACAAAGCATTTGCATTTTAACCATTTTAAGTACAATTCAGTGACATTTATTACATTCACCATGTTGTGTAACCATCACCACTATCCATTTCCAAATGTTTTTCATCACTCTAAACAGAAACTCAGGGGGACATTAGTGGTTCAATGGTAGAATTCTCACCTTCCATGTGGGAGACCTGGGTTCAGTTCTCCACCAGTCTACCTCATGCATAGCTACCATCTGCCTGTCATTGGTGGCTTGTGTGTTGCTATGATGCTGAACAGGTTTCAGGGGAACCTCCAGACTAAGAGGGACTAGGAAAGGCTTGGCAGTCTACTTCAAAAATCTGCCAATGAAAACCCTATGGACCAGAATGGTCCAATTAGCAACTGATCATAAGGATGCTGCAGGACTGGGTAACGTTTCATCTAGTTGCCTCTGGGTGGACTGGAACCTCCAACCTTTTGGTTAGCAGCCGAGCATGTTAACTGTTTGCACCACTCAGGGACTCCATACCTACTGCACCTCCTGGAAAAACACCACCTTCTACCTGAAGGCCCCAAAGGGGTAGTCTGTATAACTACTGTATTCAAGGAGGGGGGATGGTTCAGAAAGTTAAAGCAAGCATTCACACATTAAATGATGTTGTGAGATGATTTTCTGGGATATTGTATACATGGAGTCTTGCAAGTCAGTGGGCATCTGGGGATTTCTAACCATTGCCTTGCACATACTCTTGACTTCCTTGCCTCTGTCTTGACTTGTCTAATCCCTTGGCAAGACGACCAAACCAAAAAACCAAACCCGTTGCCGTTGAGTCAATTCCAACTCACAGTGACTCTATAGGAAAGGATAGAACTGCCCATAGGGTTTCCAAGGAGTGACTGGTGGATTCAAACTGCTGACCTTTTGGTTAACAGCCATAGCTCTTAACCACTGCACCACCAGGGCTCCAACAAGATGACAAACCAGGCTAAATTCAACTCTGTCTTCTGAGTGCCTGTGCCAGTGCACCTGACTATGGCTGGAGAAACACACACGCTGTTTGTAGTGGTGCTTGAAATTCATGACCCCAGACTTCAAGTGTGCTCTTAATACTACAGGGACATCATATTGTACTTCCTGGTCCAGTCCCTCCCACTGTCCTAGACATGATTTCACACCTTTTCCTCTCTCCAAACCCCAACCTCTTCTTCCTCCCTCCTCTATCTCAAAGAGAAGACTTCCACAGACTGTTAACACCAGCATTGCACCCACACTTTCTGCAGGCTACTGACCATGAACTTCCCCTGCTCCTGGCCAGAATAAGGTCTTCCACTAGCTCATTCCCTTTCTCCTACTCAAGGCACTGAATTAGCAGTTCACCCTGTCTCCTACCTAGTCAATTTTTCATTCTGTATTCATTATTCTCATCATAACACATGTTGTTATTTTTCCTATTTCAAAAACCTTTCCTTGACCCCACTTTCCTCACCAGCAGCTGCCCCATTTCTTTGCTCCTCTATGCAGCAAACACATCCAAAGATGTATCTATATTTTTTGTCTCTGATTCTTTTCTTCTCATTCTTCCTTAAACTCATTTCGATTATTTTTATCCACAATATACCACCAAAACTAAACTTCTAAAGGTCGTCAAAGA